CGTAGTTGGAAAGTGTATAAGAAATCCACCAACCAAGACCGCTAAGAACTGCAATGGTAATTCATGGATCCCCCACAAAGTAAACATGGACTTGTTCTCTAGCGCGACACATTTGAAGTTTGGCTCTCTTACAGTCAATGTATTCAGACAGGGGGGGAATTTCATAATTTAAAGTTCTTCAGTATAATTGAAAGAGAGTTGAAAGAAAAAAAACTACATATCTTACTATTATTGTTAATTTACTCATAGAATTACATATGATATATATATATAGATAAATAAAAACATTAATAACATTACATGTAATTTTTTTATTAGTAATATGTTAAATTTATTGGTGAGGATACCAACAAAATAAAACAGGTAATTTTTTATGCTCTTTATCTTTTTTAAATTTATTGATATATCTTTTTAAAAATAAATCATAAATCAACAATAAAAGTTTTTTTTATGAATTGTTTTTGTTTGTGGTCCCATACGTATCAACAAACCACAAGTGTAAATATCATTAGAAATTTTGGTAGATAAATCTATTAAATCTAGTAATATATAAAGTGTACATATAGTAGCTTTCAAAGCTATTATTTTAGTGAATGTTTAAGGTTATGGTAGTTATTATTTTTTTTTATGTTCTTTAAAAGTACATTTCATTGAAAAAAATATTAAATTGATGTTGTTAATGTGTTTCAATGGTTTGGATGTGTTGATGTAAAATATATATATATATGAAGAAAGTTTGCTATATATCATTAAAGAAAGTAAATTAATGAAAGAATAAATGTGGTGAATTGCACCATGGAATCTCCTAGATACCTAGATGGGATATGTAAGAACTTTGGCTATAAATCTAAACATATCTTTTTTCTGAAGCAATTAACACATCTTCTTGGTACCAAAAAGCCCAGTGAATTCTATGATTCTGTAAAATCTGTACAAGATGCTACAAGATTTTGCCTATGGGACACGTGAAAGGATTATTTCTTGAGTGGCCCTGTAAGACCATGGCTTCCCTTTTCCTTTCTTTGCATGTTCTTTCGCTGCAACTGAAAATATCGTAGGATTTGATGGGAATGTAAGAGGAAACAAAGGCCTAGAATGTATGTACCTAGCTAGCTACTCACAATTTTTGTCAAAACTAAAGAGCTTTATGCAGGCCTCAAAAGAAACATCACCGGCTTAGATGCAGCCCTTGTTCAAGATTTCAACCCTATTTCTGACACGTTATTAAGAAATTCTTTGTTTGGGTGGCTCTTGTTTTTTGTTGTGGCGTGCAGAAATATCACACATGAAGATTTGGTTCATCGTTTTCTCAGCTCTACGCCCCGGGCTCTACCTTAGCTATGGCACCCAAGTCTCTGAAAGGAAAAATGGGCTGCTTGCTTTGTTTACACAATTCGTGTTCCAGATAAAGTTCCCATTCTTCTCGGTCGTATTTCTCCTTTCATCTTGTTCTTTGATTCCGCTCATGTGTGTTATTCAAGCGTTTATTACTCTCTTTTTAGCCGTGTTATTCGATTCAACAATTTCTAGAGTGTTTTACACGGAAAAAGAAATATTAAATTAATATTTTTAAATTTTTTTATTGTTTTGATGTCCAGGATTAAAAGGTATTAAAAAAATTATTGCCTTATATAAGAAAATATTGAATTATTTGTCCAGAAAAGTATTGTGTGGAATAGAGATGAATTTAGTGTAAATTAGTTGAAGTTTGGGAATGTAGTGTAAATTATATTTTTTTTTGATAAAAAATAAAAAATATGTATTATATTTTTTAAAAATTTAATTTTTTTGATAAAAAATAAAAAATATATATGTTTTAAATTATTTTAATGTGTTGATTTTAAAAATAATTTTTAAAAAATAAAAAATATTATTTTAATATATTTCAACATAATTTTTTTTTAAAATAACAATAATTACATTTTCAAACAAACACTTAATAATTAAAAAAAGCAACACAAGTTTGGTGCATCGTTGCTTTTCAAAAGGAGTATACTTAATGCGGACAACAAATGAAGATCTCGGTTATTAATTTGATTATATTATTTTATTTTATTAGAACATTTCTCACTTTATTTTTCTTGTTTTAAGGTATTTCTGTTTTGAATTTTGTATACATTTTTAATACTTATTTTCATCAAATAAAGTATTTTGTCCAAATTTGAGTTTTACAATATCTAATAATTGAGTATGTATGTCGAATAGTTAATTACTCGATTAAACGGTATTTAGGTCGTAAAATCAAATTAGGAAGGCTATAAAAAATACTTAAATAATATATATATACATACATACAGCCACACGCTATCTTTCATGAATAGTTATATATCAAATTATTTAGGAAGTTAAATATTAATAGTTATTAAATCTCGATAGATTGCTGTAGGCTTGTTTGAAGTTTTGGGAATTAAAATTAAATATTAACAACAAAAAACTACATATATGGTTTTGAACCAACCCAACTTGGTCTAGGAACCTTTCAACGAGCTTGAGCCCAAGTCTTGTATGAGAAAGATCCGAAAAGATTTCAAAAAATCAAGCAACGCCCAGCAAGAATGGAACTAGAACCAGAGGAGCCCAAAGAGGCCTATTACTAGTCTTCGCCACTTGGACAGGTCCTGAAGAAATCATTATTGGGCATTCTTGATATATTGTTGCCCTAGGATGAACTTTTATATAAAAACAAAATTCAATACGTTATATACCCATTATATCCCTTTTAATTAAGCGTGATAATATTCGATAATCTCTCTAATTTTATTAATTACAGCCGTAATTATATGGAATTGATATTAATTCATCTCTCTCTCTCTCTCTCTCTCTCTACACACACACACACATATGTATATGTGAATGTGCGCGTGTGTTTTTGAGTTGAAGTATGTGTTGGGATTTATTTGTGAAATATGTAGTAGAACTTTTAAGACTAAATTATATATGAAGTATACTCACAGTTGAGGTTAAAGTCATCTTGAATTTTATGACCCAATATAAGATATTAACATGTTTTAAAAATTAATTTAAAAAATGATAAATTATTTTGTAATAAGCTTTTTGATAACAAAAATCAAAAAATCCAAATTTATTTTTAATTACTAAAATATCCATGCACAGCAACCAATACATTAGTTATGTGATAAAAATAAATGTATTCATGATTTCAACATAAATGATGACTAATTCATGAATTATAAGTATTCATCACAACTAATAAATATTCATGAATTATGAGTGTTAAAATTTTAATTTTCAAGTCATATAAATAGATGTCTTAAATAAATAGAAGAATTTTCTTAAGTTCTTTTCTCTTGTAGTTGTTAGTTTTCTTAAAGACTTGTTTCTACTTCTTATCTTTATTTTGTAAAGCTTTGGTTCGTTCATTATAAAAAGATATTAAATATTATTCATTTTAGTTTGATGAATTTTATGTAAGAACAAACCTAAAAAATAAGGAGTCATTGAACAAAAAAAAATCACCAAGCAAGAAGTAACAAGGTTTTAAGAATAAAATATTAATCATTGACGATAATAAAGTTTAAGATAGGAGATCTTCTAAGAATTTCAATTATTACTCTAAACTAGTCTAATTTTATTATTTATTTAAATTACATGCTATGTTTTTTTTTCATATTTTTCATATTTGTTAGCATACAAGTTAGCTCTTGTATTAATTGCATGATTATCGTCTTTTTTATGTAATTATAAACTATACAAATAAGTTCACTTGTCTAATTATCTTCTTAGATGTCAATTTCTAGACAACAAAATTACACTTGAGTAATTAATTTTTGATGGAACTGGAATTGTTCACGAACATAAAAAACTAAATAAAATTGAATGTTTGTAGTATAATTTTTAATTAGAAATTAATTTTTTTATCTCAAGATTATATAACAGAATGCTATAATTATAAAATATTATATATGTATGTTTTATAATTGCTTTTCAGGCAAGATATAACACTATAATATTTTCTAATAACATTGTTTTAGAAGATAATTATGCAAGTCCATGTCTATGAACATTTCAAACTGAATAGAAAATTCTTCACGATCAAGGATTAAGATTATAATGAAAATGGAATAAATATTCAATGGAGTCCATAATTGGAGTTTGTTTTACAGCTTCATCATCCATGTTTCAACATGTTGCTACCTTGCTGCGTTTCTGGAGAGAGATAATGGGCCCGGTTTGCTTCATGAAAAGCCCATAAAGCCCAAAAGGCCTGGCCATAATAGGACCGCCTGGTGATATTTGAAGAGACTTCCAAGCTGTACTTCTTCCTCGTTCTAAGCCAATCATGAATCTGTACTACGTGTACTCCCAGTTTGTAGCCAACATAGATATTTCCAATGTCAATGGTCAACGCTCAGTAGATATTCTAAAAATCATGCCCGCCAAATTTTTTTTTAATGCTCAGTAGATATTCTAAAAATCATGCCCCCCAATTTTTATTTTTTTTTAAAATGTAAACGATATCATAATTGTTATGATTTTGATCGGTTTTAAATCCGTATCGTTATATAATTACATTAATGGAGTTAATTTAGTAAATTCTTAAGTGAACAGATTTAATTAATTAGATTAAATTTATAAAAATTTAATTAGATTAATATTTGAAATAATTTAAGATAAAATCTAATTAGGTTAACATTCCACAGGATCGAATGAGTTCCAATAATTATAAATTAACTAAAACTTATTAACTAAAATATTTTTATTTTTTTAATTCAGGTCATTTTTTTTATGTTTTATAATATTTTTAAAGAAATTTAAATTTTTTTATTTTAAAATAATATTTTTTTAATATTTTTATATCATTACGTTGATATCAAAACTACTTTTAAAAATAAAAAATATATTATTTTAATTTATTTTTAAATAAAAATATTTTTAAAAAATAATCGCATTATACTTTTATTACTTTATGAATAATTTATATTGAAATGATTAAATATTAGATTTGGTATTGAAATTTTGTCAATTAAATAAGTTGCCACTCACTTGAAGCTAATTGGTAAATCTTATTGATGTATTTCAACAATGTTTACTAATCATATTGTATACATATACGATCCTTTTCCTAAACTTCTTAACAAAATACATGTATGCTATGAAAAATGAAATTGTGTATGTTTTACATGGAGAAGCAACCGTTGCTTCTTTTGATCACAATCACTTTGACGGCCGGAGCATTGTTCTGGGAAAAGCCAACCTCCTCCCGCCTCCTATGAGCCGATGGCCTTGGAAGGTTCTCGGGCACAATAGTCTCTAGCGAATTCCGACTCCAAGGAGGGCACATTCTCTTGTCACTCCACCTTGGCCCCTTCAAGTTTTCTTTTGATTCCACGGCCACCTGCATCTCCCTAGCCATGGCGAGATCCTCACCACCCACTAAACCACCACCCATTTCAAGTCCAATTATCATGCACGCCGCGCCCAGTACACATCGATTCCTCCACTTTTCGTTCTTGAACCTACACGAAGTAAAATGTTCAAATCTAGTGTCTAATTTAGTCATTCTAATTAATAAAGTGGTCTCTGCTGTGAGCGAAATAGCAGATTCTTGATATATTCTAAATAATAATTGAGCTGAAATGAGGTTTTGACTTACCAGGCAACCTGGGAGTTCTTTGTAGAGGAAGAAGGGGGGGTTGAGCCAGAGCCTGGAGGCGAGAGATTGAGGCGACAAGTGGTTCTGATGGCCATATTCTCTCTTTGGGTCTCCTCTTTCAAGGTTCAATTCAACTATTCATGGCGGGGAGATGGTTCAATATATAGAGACAAGAGGAGCCAAGAGCTTGGGAGCTGACAAAAATGGCTGCTTGTGTTTGGACACGTGGGCTGGACCGACCCTCGAATCAAGCCACCATTCATTGCTTGCCGTCTTCCACTGTTTGGCGTTTGAGACGCGTGTTGGGAATAGTTTCTTGTAGATCGTGAGATTAGTAGCTCAGGACAAGGCAGTCCTCCTCGCCTGTCACACCAGCCTCTCTTGCTTGCGAAACTTACACAACCCTTTTCTTTTTTCTCAAGCATCGCTTTGAAGTTTAAATCCCATTGCAAGTTCCAGTTTAATGGGATTGTGTGTTGGTTAGGTAATTTCAATTTAAAAAAACAGAGAGTTAATTTTAAATCTTTTAAATTAAATAATATTATTTAAATCAAAATAATTACAAAAATTTCATATTGAAAGATAAGCAAGTTGATTTTATTGAACCGAGTTAAGTTTTATAATTATAATTATAATTATAAAATATAAGATATATATATAAAGTTTGGTATTATAATAATATTTATTTTTAAAAATATTTTTATTTAAAAATATATTAAATATTTTTTAATTTATTTTTAACATTAATACATAAAAATAATTTAAAAATATAAAAAAGTATTTCTAAATAAAATAAAAAAAGAAAAACTTCTTGGTGTGGTTTTATGGTAATAATTCGTTGGGTCAAAGACAAGACAGGTTGCATGTTCTTTTTTGGGCTTAGGCCTTTGGGTGGATTGGTATTGACTATCCTTTCCATGGGCTTAGAATCTCTTTCGCTGGATTATTGTATTATATGGGCCTGCAGGTACTTAGAATCTCTTTCGCTGGATTATTGTAGTCTACGGGCCTGCAGGTCTCTTGTTCCTGGGCTGCGTGCATTTTGACTCCGATTCCATCCTCTGGATTAGAGAGATTATCCTCTGTTCAGAAAACAAAAAAAAGTACCCGCGATGGCGCTTTCGGCTTGCAGAAACAATTTTTTTTGTTTTTTTGAGGGTATCAAAGTGAAATTTTATAAAGTTATTGAGTACTTCAACGTTTTTTTACCAGTGTTTGAGGCATTTCCTTCTGTTTAAAATTTAATGTGTTTTAAAAATATATTTGTTTTAAAAAACTATTTGCAGTATTTTTTTTATAATTTTAATATCTTGGTATTAAAAAATAAAAATATATTTTAGCCTAAACGATGTCTTGTCACTGAATAGCAGTGAATGAATGCTAGTTAGCTTAAACGATGAAACGAAACACCTACCTCTCTCATTTTCTTACAGATCAAAGTTAGGTCCACCTACCCAGCTCCTAACATGCTCAAATTTCCACGTGTTTTTTTGTTTTAAAAATCCACTTCGTAATATAGAAGGCTGACTTTATTTAAAGTGGATTTGAAAATACGATGTACGTTTTTTGTTTTAAAAATCCACTTCGTAATCGCAAAGGCTGACTTTATTTAGAGTGTATTTAAAAATATGATGTAAATTATATTTTTTAAAATTTTAAATATTTTTATTGAATTTTTTTATATTTTTGGTTTGTTTTGATGTACTAATATTAAAAATAATTTTTAAAAAGAAAATAAATTTAATTTTAATATATTTTTAAATATTTTTAATAACTTTAATATGCGAATATTAAAAATAAAAGATATAAAAAATAATATTAATATATTTTTAATTAAAAATGATTTTTAAAAAACATGGCACAATTAATTCAAAATTAAATCTTAATCTTCGTGTTTTTCACGTTACTATCATCTCAGGACCCTAAATAGAGGTAAAAAATTTAAATAATAATAATAATAATGTATTTTTATTTAAAAATGATTTTTAAAAAACATGGCACAATTAATTCAAAATTAAATCTTAATCTTCGTGTTTTTCACGTTACTATCACATCGGGACCCTAAATACAGTTAAAATGTCGGTCTAAATTAGTATATAAAATAACAATCAAATCTAACCTAAGTAAAAACGTGCTGTAATTTAACCTCTAATCTAGCTGAAGCAAGGAGACTGTATGCGATGGGGAATTTCAACCACGTGGGTGATTATGAGACAATATTAACAATGCTTTATCATTATATTATATAATAATCCATTTTATTTGTCTATATTTTGATTTTTCGCTATCCTGGAATATTTGTCTAAACACATTATCAAGTGTTTAGTTTTTTTTTTAATATTATATCCTTTAGTAAAATATTGTTCATTTTATTTGCACTGAATTAGCTATTGCTTTTTAAATTATTTTTCTCTATAAAAAATTAAATTAATATATTTTTATATGTTTTTATTATACCAATGTAAAAAATATAAAAAATATTTTTAGTTAATTTTTTTTAAAAAGCATTATATACAATATCCCTTAGAAGATTGGAGCAATCTTAGATGCTATTATACTATATTTATAGTGAAAAAATCAAATAATATTTTTATATGTTTTTATTATACCAATATAAAAAATAAAAAAAATATTTTTAGTTATTTAAAAAAAAAAGCATTATATGCAGTATCCCTTAGAAGATTGGAACAATCTTAGATGCTATTACACTATATTTATAGTGAAAAAATTAAATAAAAAAAATTCATGAACATATATAGTATTAGAATGAGAGAGTGAATTCCTTTTTATAGAAAGCGATGTACATATAAAAAAATAAATTTAAATGGTGCATAAAATAACTTGAAAATTCTAATTATCATTAAATAAAAATATAAATAACATGAATGGATTACCAATAACCAATTCATATATAACACATTAGTAAAATCAATGATCATCCTTAATAATAAATTAAAAAAAAACCTAAAATAGAAGGTTATATTAGAAGAAACACAACATTTTGTTAGATATTTTACCTGAATAAAAAATTTTCCAGAATTATTACAATCAAATCGTGAAAATTTAACTTTTAGAAACGATTCATAAATAGCATGTTAAATTCATGGCAAGCGAACATCAAAGATTATTTAAAATGTCTGCCGTCAACAAGATAATTAAATAAAAAAATTGATTTGACAAAGAAAGCCGCACAACCAAATCTGACTGAAAACGACGCCGTCACCGTCCGCCTCTAAGGCCAACCAATCATCACTCTTGACTTCACCACCAGAAGAAAAACAGCACCATCGTTTTAAACGCCTGAAACGTTTGATTGCTAGAGTCGCGTGCTCTCAAAAAGGGTCAAAAATTTCTACCTCCAACGCTTGATTTCTTCCTGAGTCGACTCGGTGAGTCCCTGCTCAATTAACTGAACTAAGTGAATCAGAGTTTTTGGCCCCCTTTTTTATTTTTTCATTTGGTGGTGGGTTTTATTAGGAATGTGAAAATATGGAAGGAAATAATGGGAGTTCGGGTGAAAGTAATAGGAGACCACCAATACCTCTAGCTGCTGCTGCTGCTACCACCACGACGTCGTGTGGACAGTGCTTTAGCATTGATAGTGTGCCAGTAAGCTGTAAAAAGACCCTGGTTCGTCACCAGTCCCTTGTAAGTTTCTAAATTTTAGACCTTTTTGGCATCTGGGTTTTCGCTTTTTTATTAAAAAAAAATTGGTTTTGGTTATTGTTTATGTTTAGTGGCTTAATGGGTTTTGTATGTAAACGGGCTGTGTGTTTTTTGTTGTTTGAGCAATTAAAGTTTGGTTTTTTATTGGATTGAATTGGTTTGTTTGCTTTGATTTTTTTTTCTTTTTTTAAAAACATTTTGTTCTTCTAGTGGCATTAAGTAATATATTCGTAACAATCACGGGAAGAATTTTTCGGTTAGTGATTTCGGGAATAATTTTTCTGTAAAATTAGCATTATCCGCGTATAGATTATAATATGTGGACGGAATTGGGAAGTTAGAGACTATATTAGTAAGAATTAAAATGAGCTGAGAGAGTTATGTTTTACCTTGTAGCATACTCTTACTCTGTTGTTATCAAAATTTTTCTGTTGGATTAGATTTTCTATTATGAACTGTTTTCTTTTACTTTTGTAAAAGTTTGTAAGTACCGGTGATGTACAGTTCCTTTTGTCAAGGTTTTGACCAGATTTTTGTGCAGGTGAAGACAAAGACGTTGGATATCTCTGTTAAACCTAACCTCGGTGCAGAAAATCACGATGCAGATTTCGTTCCGATTGTTCGCTCTGGAGCATGGGCGGATATTGGCTTTCGCTCAAGTATGGAAGATGTATACATATGTGCTGACAGTTTTATGAGTGATTATGGACTCAAGAATGCTACTGATGGGCCCAATGCCTTTTATGGGGTACTATTTTCTTTCTCTTAGTTCTACTTATGTTTGCTCATGTGGGATATTCGAGAATGCTACTGGCTTTTCTTTGGTGCAAATAATGTGCGGGATATTCATGATTTCATTGGAGCATTGTCACTTTACATTTATTTATAAATTTTCTCTTATCAAATTTCTTAAAATCTTGCATTTCACAATATAACGCCATTTCAATCAAGTGTATTGCAGGTTGTTATACAAAAGTTGAGGCTTTGAAAAATAGAACCTTTTGTTTTCGCTTGTATTCAAGAAACACAATATTTTTATCTTTTCTTCAAATTCTGTTGTCCCAAAGCATAGTTGAAGCATGTTTTTGTTGTGGCCATGGTAAAACATTATGTTTTTGTGTGTTTGGTTGTGAGTGCAATACTGATGGCATCAATGTCAGTTATGGTGGTGACAAGCATTGGTTCAAGTCGGTTGTGTTTTTGATGAAATGGTGAATGTATGCATGGCAGCAGCTGTGGTTGGGTGTGGGATTTAATGGTGGTGGATTGTTAAATGCTGGTGCTACTGATTTCAGTCTTTAATGATGGCTGTATTAGAGGAATGATGTTATAAAAGATTTTTATGATGTTATTGAATATTGCTAGTGGTGATTGTAATGTGTTGGCAATGGGGGTAATGGTGGTTTTTGTGAGGCAGTGTTGTGCTTACATAATGTGGTAACCTACTAATGATGTTGCAAGTCATGGTTTTGATGTTATTGTTGGTTTTTCATTTCTCACGGGGCACAGATTCTGTGTTGATAGTAGTTTTATATCTAGCATTAGTTTGGTGATTGTAATGTTTGGCAATTTAACATAGAGTTTTATATTGATGGTTAGGTGTTTGATGGACATGGTGGAAAGCATGCTGCTGACTTCGCATGCTACCATCTGCCAAGATTCATTGCCGAGGATGAAGACTTTCCGGTGGAGGTTGAGAGGGTCATTGCTTCTGCATTTCTGCAAACTGACTCTGCTTTTGCGAAGGCTTGCTCCCTGGATGCAGCTCTTGCTTCTGGAACCACCGCACTGGCAGCTCTTGTTGTTGGGAGGTTAGCATTTATCCATCCACCAACTGTTTTATATATTGCTGGCTTATTATATAATTCTCTTTCTTGGAGCATTGAATGTTCGCTAACCTAGGCTGTGATGCATTCTCTTAGTTAGATTGTTAAGAATCTCAGTGCTTTATTTCACGAATTACCCTAATGTGGAGCTAAGAAGCAAGGTAGATATGAGCTATCAAAACCATAGAAGGCTTTTTATGAGCCTGAAATAGGGTTTAGTCATATTCCATATTCAAGGGCAAGCCTCCATCTGGATATTTCTTAGGGAGGCTGATAATGAGTTTTATGGAGATAAAAAGCTGCAGCTAAATGATTGTAAGGCTTGGCCTTAAGTTCTCTTCTAGAAGTTGGTTTGTGAGAACTGAAAGTTTTTGACTATTTTATATGCTATTTGTTTCTGACAACAGGTTGTTAGTTGTGGCAAATGCTGGAGATTGTCGAGCAGTGTTGTGCTGCCGTGGCAATGCCGTTGACATGTCTAACGATCACAAACCGACATGTAGCAAAGAAAGGAAACGCATTGAGGCATCTGGGGGGTATGTTTATGATGGTTATCTCAATGGACTACTCAATGTAGCTCGTGCTTTGGGAGACTGGCACATGGAAGGGCTGAAAGGTAGTGGAAGTGATGGTGGGCCACTGAGTGCAGAGCCTGAGTTTATGACAAGACAATTGACAGAGGAAGATGAATTCATCATCATAGGTTGCGATGGGATCTGGGATGTCTTCAGGAGCCAAAACGCCGTGGATTTTGCTAGGCGGAGACTTCAGGAGCACAATGACCCAGTCATGTGCAGCAAAGATCTTGTTGATGAAGCCTTGAAGAGGAAGAGTGGCGATAATTTAGCTGTTATTGTGGTTTGCTTCCAGTCTGAGCCTCCCCGTAACTTGATTGCCCCACGCCCAAGGGTTCACAGGAGCATATCCGCCGATGGTTTGAGGGAGTTGCAGAGTGTCTTGGATGACTTGGCAAAATGAGGCAGCGACATTTTCCTTTTTTTCCCTTTCTTTTTCTACTTTAGAGTTTTAGTTGTAGTTTTAGATATTGATTCAATTGAGTTTCAACTGTAAAATATGCGGCGGCAAGCTGATAAACTAAAATGTTGCCCTGTTAGAAGTTCCATCTTGTTTCAGCCTTGACAGAGTTGTTCTTTCATGAAGACATTTCGATGTGCGGAATTAAACCTGTTCATCAATCCTAGGCTAATAATATTAATATGGAGCATATACTGAAGTGGTTTGTATTGGGTGTTTGATTTTGTTACTATCTTTGTTCCATCTCTCTCTTCCTCTCAAGTCTCGAACTGCATTTGTTGCTGCTGATTGCAATTTTCATGATATTGTTTTAGATTTTTTTAAAGCCCCAAACAACTTTATTTTAGGCTTTTGTTTTAATAATCTCCGAGTCGGAGTGCTGTAACCATGCCTGTAATTGCCGGGTTGATTTCCTTGTAAACCCTCGAGACTTGAGCCTGGAAAAGTCCCCTCAGACTCAGAGAGCACCCCATCATATATTCCCTCTTCCCCTCTTTTGCAGGAGTCAAATCTCATCATGAATTAGCGTAAGCTGGCCTGGTCAACTTTTATTCACATTTTCAACGGGAGCAAAATTTATGATCAATAGAACAAACAGAACTTGAGATATGATAAATTGTTGTTTGGTTTATGCATTTATCCATGTAAAAGGGAAGAAAAAACCTCTCATCTTCTCTGGAAGTTAAATGCTTTAATGGAGAACGCAAAGGTGAAAGCAAATAGCACAGACATGCCAACAACTACAATTGCACAGATTCCAACGAAGTCATGCCGAAAGCCGAAATAATTCCTCACGAAATCTTTCACTGTTTCATCACCCTCTACTGTATCCTCAAGGTCTCCATATTGTGAAGCAATCAAGCCATAGAGGGTCCACGAGAACGGACATGCCCAGCAGTACCATCTCCACCAGATAGGAACCCTCTGTTAGAATCAAGAGTTAATCATCTTTAGTCATGATGTGTTCTTGATATTCATAGGAGGTATAAAAACACATGGGGTAGTGCGAAGTTACCGTTCGAGGAATGATGAATCCTGAGAAAAGGTTCCATATTGCGTAGAATGCAGATGAAACTAAAGAAGCAATGTTGTGGTTTGGCGTGATGGCTACATTCATCATGCCATAGAAAGTCATGTATAATAAGGTGAAGTACATGAAAAAGATGTACCAAAAGAACTTGATGGGTGTCCATTCGAAACCGATCATGGAGTACACTATAACTCCATATATAAGAGCCTGGACTAAAGTGTATGGAATTTCAATCATAACCTGCATGGAAAAAAAAATGTTCAGGTGAGGAAACCTCGCGGTTGAATTTCCTAGAATCTCGAAACAAGCAAAAAGCTGTTAGTAGTCTCGAATGCAAAAGTCTCATCTAAGTATCTAGTGTTCTGAATTCTGATAGCTCATATTCTCATGCTTGTGTCCTGTATTCGTACAGCATAACTTTTGATAGATGGATAGTGCATTGATGAATGAATCAGTTCGTGCCCAAAAAGAGAGAAGGGTCGAGTAACGAAACCAATTTACCTGTGCAAAGGCATATGGCAATGCAGAATACATTCCTGCTGCTCTCTCTCTGTAAAAGACTGTTCTCTCAATAGCGACAACTGGCTGCACTGATGTAGCATTCTGTATTCCTATGAAAAGAACAGCGGCATACATAGAACCCATCGAATTAAATATATCTTGTTTTCTATTCCTGCAGTTCAAGAACATTTCATTTTAGTTGGAGAGCCAGGGAGAAAATGAGGGCGATTTAATGCTTATGTAAAGAATATGCTGAACTTCTCTATACCTTTTGGAGCCCAAATTCCAAAATATGGTCCCAAACATTACAGCTATGAATGTTGTGAATAACAGTCTGACTGCATTGTATGGTGGGTTTCGCCAATATGACCAATGCTGCTTCCATAGGCAAGCCATGCACTGGGCGAAGAAGGACTGTGAATATCGAGTTGGGAAGTATAGATCTTTTGAACCCGGTTGCGGAGCACTTAGCTCTTTGATCAAGGCTTTGTTTCTCCTGAATAATTCACTGAAAATTGTCAATAGCCTTGTAACATTATGTGCATCAGAAAATGATGTTGTGAAGCTTCACGTAGATTCTTTAAATAATTTTCCAATCATATCTGTTTTCAGCTCAAAGTCTGAGCACCAAATCCACAAAATTTTCCTTTTGTTTTCTCACCCCTTCTTATCTTGTTAAAAAGAAAAATGAAATGTGAGGTGGTCAGACCTGTATGGTTCTGAGTTCTTGAAGATATCGGTGAAGTTATCCTTGAGAACTGCTTCTTGTGTTGCTGAAGTAACCTCCAACATCCAAGTTGCAGGATTGTAACCATCCTTAATCTTTGGAACTCCCTCAATTTCCTTCAAAAGGTTAAAGTCCTCAATATTAGGAATTTAGAAATAAGGAATGTAAGATTCAATTATCTTCTCTATCAAGCAAATGATATGCTAACCTCAAAATACTTGATTAGATGGCAAGCATGGCGGCCTACTGGACCCACATAAATTTCCTCACCTCCCCTTTTCAGCAAAAATAGCTAGAACGTGACAATATCAGATTAGAGCCTTTATGAGGAAAATAGAAACGGAAACCGAACCGAAACTGTTTGATAGCTCATTAGCAAGAAAAATGTCTCACCTCGTCAAAAGCATCAAATATGTCTATGCTTGGCTGGTGTATTGTGCACACTACAGTTCTTCCAGTATCCACTGTGTTCCTCACTGCTCTCATAACTATGGCTGCTGCCCTGGCATCAAGGCCAGATGTTGGCTCATCCATGAAAATTATGGATGGATTAGCTACAAGCTCAACTGCAATCGTCAACCTCTTGCGCTGCTCGGTGGAGAGACCATCCACACCAGGCGATCCAACAAGTGATTCTCTTAAAGGGTTCAATTCCACAAGTTCCATGACCTCCTCAATGAACATCTGCAACACATTGATTGAATTTACTGTCAATAACCTGATGGCTGAAAAGTTGTAGTCTGGTGTTTTCTATCTAGAATTTATCTCTTCCTATTCACTACAGCGTGCATCCTTGAAGTTGGATGCTTTTACTTTCACCCCTCCTCGTTTTCCAATAAAAAAGAAAAAAGATAAGGAAAGAAATGTACCTTTCTTGTTTCCGAATCAACATCTGGGGAAAGTCGAAGCCATGCGGAATAAACCAAGGATTCATAGACAGTCACATGAGGGGAGTGAATGTCAGTTTGTTCACAGTATCCTGAAATGCGAGCAAATGTTTGTTGGTTCTTTGGATATCCTGATATACTTATTCTTCCATCAATATAACCACCGGTTTTTCTTCCAGATAATACATCCATTAAAGTGGTCTTGCCGGCACCACTAACTCCCATTAGAGCTGTTAGGACTCCTGGCCTGAAAGCACCACTGACACCCTTCAAAAGTTCCAGACGATCCTCGGGGATACCTTGAGCCTTCATTTCCTGCAAGTGTGGGGCAAAAGTCAGGATGCACACCTCGGCCAGCATTTCAATAGAATGGTTGTGAAAAGCAAGTAAGATATCTGAACATTAAATTATGTTGAAATTTAGAGACTTCCAACAGATTCAGAAACTTTTCATGCAATGAAATTGGGAGAATTACTTAGAGAATGAGTTCATCCATATTGTCTGCGACTCCTGAAATTTTAGCATTTCAATTGTTCTTTAAGCTTGCTAATATTTACATTGTTGCTTCATAATTAAAGCCTTAAGGTACCTGCGGCATGTCTACCGAATATCTTATTTCTTCGAAAGTGATAGAAAGCGGTTGAAAAGGGAGAATCATTCCTCGCTTATTTTGATTGGCATCACCAGGGCTAGGTATTCTTAAAGATGGTACCCTAGCTGAGGAATTTCTTTTGCTGTCTTTCCCCCTTTCTGCAATGTTTCAAGGAAGCTTAACTTATAGCTTGCATCATACAAGATACAAAGCAACGTATCTATGTAGGAGAGTCTTGTGACTTACCTGAAGAGCTCTTTCCTCTTGTTGATAGTTCAATAAAATTTCCAGTTCTGTTGGCATCTCTTTCGGCCAAGGCCTCTTTTGATAATATTGCCTGAGGCTTCCCAAATGCTGCAATCAGTTCAATCATCAGAACCGCAGGCTCAACTTTCAAAACTGGACATGTAAAATGCAGATATACTCACGGTTTAGATATTTTAGAGCTAAGGTGAAAAGGAAGTTGAAAAGCAAGGTATATCCTATCAAAGCTCCTACTCCAATCCAATACCAACGTGCTTCTGGAAAAACTCCACGAGACTTCAATAAAGTAACTCCTAATGACTCTGTTGAATTGGGAGGAATCTGCAACACAGATATTTCCATGTTATTAGTATTATAGCTGAAGTATTTTCTTTGAGTCTTCAATGTATACTCTTGTCGGGGTTTAAGAACATGAATCTTACATGTCTCCAACTATTCCCAAGAAATTCATTGACAGACACGGCATTCTGCACATACATTAATGGCGATACCCAGTACCCCCATATCCACCAGGACTTCACATTATCTAATACAAAAGAATATAGGATTCATCATCAGAATTTAATCTCATCACACTGAACAAAATAAATGAGAGTAAATGTATCCAAGTCACCTCTTGATAAGATGAATCCTCCCATAACTAGTACAGCAAGCAATGCAAATGAACCAACATTGTTGGCCACAATTACGTTCCTTCCTAGTGCTCCCATCAATCGGAAGAGCCCAGATGACATCTGGTTAGCCAATACGAATATCAAGTACTGCTTGAAAAACCTGCCACGAAAAGTTTTTCAGCAAATTCTGGAACCTGAAGTCCCAAGGACTTGAAACAAATTCATTGACAAGTTCAATTTTCCCACCTTCCAATGTTTGGATCAAAACCTACAGCATAATATGTCATGGTGGTCCATATGGCAACTTCTACAAAGGTGATTGGGATCTTGAGAATCCATGTAGGTATGGCATATGCCCAGGAAGGATAGAAGAGAAGGTCTCTTTGCTTGTAAAAAACAGGAAGCTTCATGATGGTCATGACAAGCTCTGAAAAGCCATTGAACATAATGATAATGATAGCAAAGAAAAGAGCACCGATATAAATCCCACCATCCGTTATTGTGTTGCGGTGCATCTCCGTTCTTAGAAATATTGTCATTGTTATGGAAGCTAAAAGAATAAGCTGAAAATGAAGGAAGAACTTATTATTGTCACAACAGTGAAGAGCTCAAAGTGAATGTATGCAGATCCTTGAGAACACAGAATATGGCTATAATTTCAGAAAACAAGAAGAAGAATGCTCACTTGTGTGAATTTGAAAATGTAGACAAATGAGTTCCTTTTCATGAGCAAAAATTCTCTTGAAATGCAAGCTTTCAAGAGTTCCTTCTTGCTGACACCATATTTCTCGGTTGATAGAGCAGAAGGGTGGCTTTTGGACTTGTCAAATGGTATAGCAAGTTCATCACCTAGTTTTCGACCAATATGAAATGATTGGAATGCTTCAGAAAACTCATTGGCTGAAACAAAGCTGTAAGGCTGATCTCTACTTGCCCAGTACTGCTCTTGATCTTTCCTTGATGTCACCTGTTCCATTTCACCAGAAAAAAGTTGATAAACAAGCTCAAAGCTGCTCAAAGATCGGCAAGGGAAACATAATATTTGAAGTTATAGCTAGTATTACTTCTTGTAAGAAGTCAGCAACTCCTTTCCTCTCCGGACATTTAAAACCCAATGATTCAAAGAATTCAAGAACATTTTCACGTGGACCATGGTACACAATTAGTCCATCTGACAGAAGAATTACGTCATCGAAAAGAGCAAAGGTTTCTGGTGCTGGTTGAAGTAGAGAGATGAGAGTAGTTCCATTGAGGATGTGTGTTGTTTGCCTGAGTGAGTTCACTATTTGGAATGTTGTTGAACTGTCCAAACCAGTTGATATCTCGTCCATGAAAAGTGCTCTTGCTGGTCCAACCAACATCTCACCTACATCACATAGACCAGAAGATACTCAGGTATGGCTTATGCTCATAAAGACTATTGCCAACAATACCAAAAACTTGCCTAATGTTTTACCTGTAGTGAGTCGCTTCTTTTGTCCACCGGAGATGCCTCGTATCATTTCATCGCCCACCATGGTATCAGCACATATATCAAGTCCTGTAATCTGTGAACTTGTAAAAGCCGGAAGATTAGTTATATCCATATCTGTAATCCTGCAACTCACTGGCCTAATTAGATTTGCAGCAAGTACCTTGAGAATATAATATGTTGTCACACTAGTCTCTTGCCCTTCTAGTGCTGCTGCCTGCAGAATCCAAATATTTAGAGCATATTTTAACGGTGAAAACTCTATTGTCACTGATTATGGACTCAATTCTTGTGCTATCCTTCCTCACCTTCATGTAAATATCAAGGTCAGGATCTGGTTTTATATTTGCCTCTTTCTCCCTTCTTGATAATTCAGTTAACATCTCTGCACAATTTCAGAATCCCGTAGTAAATTAATTTCAAACCCTTTATTAATCAAACAACTGATGTGTTGAAACAATGGTGTATCACTGACCGTAACGCGGTCCGACCCCTTGACATCTCGCAGAGAAAGACAGTGTTTCTCTCACGGTCATTTCTCCTATATGAAGATCAAATTGACTAATGTAAGCTGATGTCCTCTGTGGTACAAACTCTTCCATCCCATGTCCGTTGTAAGTAACACTTCCTGAACACTGAAATTTCGCAAATATCAAGGTCAGATCATATACAAGGCAAAATAATTTCTTGAAAACAAATACGAAAATCCCTCTCCCCTTACCTGCAAATCTTTACCAAGTTTTCCAGCCAAAGCCATTAGTAAAGTGGTCTTGCCTGAGCTTGGAGGGCCTAAAAGCAGTGTCATTCTGCAAGATTTGAATGAACTAATGTGAGGAACCAACCATTTTGCAGAATTTGCAACATAAAAACACTGTAACTTAATGTTTTACTGACCTACGAGGCTTGATGATTCCACTGACATCACGCAGAATGGGAAATGTCTGCTTTCTACTTGGAAGTAAGTGAAGAAAACTCAAGAACCCCTTTGAAGAGGAAGAATACAGAGCAACCAATGAGTTCAATTCACAGATAACAAATTTTGGTCAAGTAAAATAGATAAGCAAGCTAGTATGACATCTGTAACTTTTGTACCTCTAACATGTTAGCAGAGAAGTTTAATATTGTAGGCAACGCTCTACCTCCTACATAAGCTTCTGCTTCAACATTCAAATGTTCGAACCTGACTTCAATTGTTGGCATTTCCAGTTCAACTCTGAAGAAAAAGGCCAAATTGATCAAAAAAAGAAAAGAAAATCTTCAGAAACTGAGATGAAATTGAAGTTTGAAGAACCAATACCTGTCAATCCTTTCTTTGAGCTTCAACAAGAACCTCTCATTATCTTCTTCAGCAATCTTAACAAGCCTCTCTAACAAATCCCTTTTCTCTACTAAACCAAGGTTTATAATATCAATCTCTCTTGCTTTACCTTCTTCTTCAGTTAAAATACCTCTTGTCAAACGTAAATAAGTAGGGAGTTTCTCTAAAGCAGCCCATTTTAGAGCTTCTTCATCATCTTCATCACGAGAAGACCTTGAAAAAACTTCAGGGATACTATTCCTCCATATATTAGTGGAAGTGCTTAAACGTGCACTACTTACTCTGTATATATCACCAGCACCATCCATTTTTTTACTTTCTCTATCAAAATGTTGCTACTATCATTCAAACATGAAGAAGCAAGAGCAACTTTTGAAGTTTTCTTCAAGTTTCATGCAAGAAAAACCAGACATTTATGAACTTTGTACCCGAAGCACTTTGAACAGTTGGTTTGAATACGGTATGGGTTCCCTGTCTTCTCTACCTTAAGCGTTTATGGAGTAGAGAGTAGAGACAACAATGTGAGTTTCTTCTCTGTCCTTTCAGTTGAAGAATTGATGGGGTTTGTAATTTTTTGAGAGTCTTAGTGTCAAGAAATGGTATATATATATAGACACACACGCAGAGAGAGAGAGAGCGAGAGAGAGAGAGAGAGAGAGAGAGAGCACTGTATTTGACTGCAAAACATACAAAGGGGATGGTCGAGTTTTTGAAGAAATGGAGTAAAAAAAATATCTAAATATTGATTTTTCAAGTAAGAATATTGGATGTTCTTGTTTTAGTGAGAAGGTATCCTCATGAAGAAATTTGAATATCTTGACAGTAGAAGGGCTTGATGCTGTGCTTTTCAATTAGAATTGCGTTTTCGAAACATCGTTTTGAAAAACCATTAAATTTCAGTTTTATCAGAACCAAGATTTATAATGTGTATATAGTATTATGGTATAGTTTATCTTTCACTTAAAAATACTTAAAAATATTAATTTAGTATTTTCTCATGTCAAATATATTTTTAAAACACATCCAGATATAATACTTTATTGCATATAGTTTTTAAAATCATGGTTTAATACTCTTAAATTAGTTTTGGCACTTCCGTTCCTGCAAAACAATCCACAATTACAAAAATTATTTTTAAAAACTACTTTTTTAAAAAATTAGAATTCTAAAAATAACTTACTGCGTGCAAATTTATAAATTTTCGAACTCTTCAACTAAACTAGAAAAAAAAAGATAGATCAATTTTTTTATTTTAAAATAAAAAATAAGTTGAAAATAAATTTTTAAATAAAAAAATATAAATTCTATTTTTCTAACCATTGTAATAGCCCAAATATGAAAATCTATATGAAGAATCATCTTTATTTTTCAAAAACAATTGAGGTGAATTACATGTTGTTTCTCATATTAACTTAAAAAAATAAATAACCCGTGCATGAGCTATTTCTTGATGGACTAGGCATTTGGCCTGACTTACAAACTCAATTATATTTAAC